TTTAATTTTTTTTATTAATATCTTGGAAAAATATTTATTTTTTTTTTTGGTTATACATATCATTGTAATATAATGATTGTATGTAAGGTTCTATTACATAAATATTACTTAGGAGTTATTAATAAATTAAACACAGAAATAGTCGTAAAAGACGTACGGTTATTAATAACTTGTGATAACGATTAACGAGTAAAGAAATATTAATGAAACTGACTTAAAATCAGAAATTTTGGTTGCAAAATATTTTTATGACAATCAATTAAAACATTAACAATCAGGAACATTTAAAGCAGCTAAAGAGTATTGATAAAAATCTGTTTTCCCAAATTTATACAAAATGCTTCATTTAGAGCTCGCAGTTCCAATAAGTTCCGCATCTTGTGAAAGAACATTCTCAGCAATTCGTCGAATAAACACATAAGGTCAACTATATTACCAAATCGATTTTCCAAGTTAGCAATCATAGCAATTGAAAGAGATTTGTCAAAAATTCTAAATAAAGAAGACATTTTAAATAAATTTGCTAATACTGAGCAGAAGCTTAAGCTGTAATTGTAATAATGTAGTTATAAAATTCCTTTAAGTTTTTAATTTTTAAAAAAATTTAACTTGTATCTAAAATTATACTTAATAAATATGTTAATATTTTAATGTTTACCTCAATATCATTTTTTTTATTATCTGTCTTATACATTGTATATTAATAAAATAATATTATAATTTAATAATGAATATAACTTGACGGACGAGTTTGGGGCGTGTGGGACAGAGCCTCCCATATTTTTTACTTATTTTAAACATATTAAGACTGAATTCCCCCCACCAACTTTAGGATCTAGTTACGCCTATGCCTGAGAATCCTATTTATAGTCTACAACATTATGCAGTATTATGACTATAATATACTATAAGAATACCCATATAAATTGACAATTTTATAACAAAATTGGAAATTCGTTTTTTTTCATTTTCCAATTACCTATGAGACTATGAAACTGAATTATTTTATTCGTTGTAGTCATGTATAACATGAATATATTTTTAAAATTCTATATTTTTTAAGATTATAAAATAAACAACGTTAAGAATTTTTTTTTAAGTACCTATTTGAAAGTATCTATGAATACTTTTTTAAAGTATCTATATTTGTACTTGAATACTTTTCTTATCAAGTATTCAAATGCGAATTTTAAATAATTTCGAAAACAGGTATCTATATTTGTATTTGAATTCTTTATAAAAGTATCTTTTACAAGACTGATAGTAAAATAATGTAGGTACTGTCTAATATTCAACACTGTGCATAGTTTGTACTAACGAGTGCAATTATATGTTGGGATTGAAATTAAACATTTTAATACTTCCACAACAAATATCGATCAAACAGGTACCTTATATTTACATTTTATACCTATCTACTTACTTCAATTTCATTGTTTCGATATTGTTTTGACCATTTTCACAGACGTCAACCACACTGGCCGAGGTACTGGAGCTTAATTTGCTTTGAACATTAACTGCACTGTTGCAGGCGATTTCGTTATTGTAATATGTTGATGTGTTCTCACTAGTCGATCGAACTAGTTTGCATTTAGTTTGGCCAACTGGGTCTAATTCGCCCATTCTCTAAACAATGAATATTATTTTTAACTATATACGGGCGAACATTTTATGCTTTTTAACATTTTTATGCTTTACAATATTTAATATTATATTATTGAATGGGTTTTGTATTCAGGACTTAAAATGGGGGGGATGCAAGGGGACTCAGTCGTCCTACCTCTTATAGCGCTACTAAAGCATCCCCTTTAACATCCCTTCAAAAAGTTTACTGAAACGAACAATTGTTTGTTAAAAATAATCATACACAATAAAATGATTGAAAGATTGGCTTTACAATTTAGTTAATGTCATACAACATTCTACAAACCAAACTAATTAATATTAAAAATAATTTATATATTTAGTACCTACCTAATATATAGGTTTTTCTATTTTAATTTAATTTTAATAAAATATATTTACAATCTGTCATTTAAAACGATAAGTAATATACAAGTCAATACATTCTTACAGCACACAAATAGTTTGTAGAAGAAATTGTTCACTAACAACAACTTATAATATATGTACCTATTTCTAATTAATTATCTAGTAATTTTATAAGATTATATGGAACGCTGAGACAGTGGCTTACCTATGGGGGAGGGGGAAACAGGGGAATCAAAAGTTTTTTGATATCACTTTTTAATGTAGTATAAAATATCAATATTCGACCGAATTGGGATTAGGAGTGATGATCATGTGATCACATAGTGACTATTTTATAATGTGGTTATCATTGATATCAAGTGATCAACATGAGTTTTAAGTATTTAGTAATAATTTATAATAAAGTTTCAGATTATATTATAAACAAAAAAAATTGTGCAATTAATGTATCCTTTCCCTCAAAATGTTTCACAGGTACGCCACTGCGCTGAAAATGAAATACAAATTAGATACCCCTGCCATTTTTTGTCACTTAAAACCCTGGTTGTATCATATTCATAACTATTCACAATGGTGGAAATTCTGTAGGTTATTTATTTACATAAGGAATGAGTTGAAATTGTAAAAATCAATTGGTTAAAATTAAACCATGACGTTTTATAGTGCGATGATATTAAAATGTGAAATATTTTTCAATGATAATATTTCTTGCTTACTTCTTGGTCGATTCGTTCAAACTCCTGCATTAGCTGCCTGTACATAATGTTTCTTCTAGTGATTTCATCATCGGGTGGTAGCTGTTTCCGCACAAATCTAGGGTTCACTTTGTACACGTGTATTATAATCCTTTCGGCCGCTTTGCGTACAGCTTCTGTCGGGTTGTGAATAGCCGACATACCAAACTCGCATAAAGTGCGACAGGTCATTCCGCTGTTTTAGAAAGGAAATAATTAGAACGACTCGAAACATGATGAATATCGTGCGGAAAAAATAACGCAATTTATTAGTTAAAACCCAACCTATTTTTGTCAGACGATACGCCTTGACTGATGATCAACTGCTCGACCATTTCCAAACGGCTGAGTATAAGTCTGGGATGTATGTTGCCGGTTAATAAACGAGTCAAATGAGTCGGTATAATATTAAGTTTTCTGAAAAGATAAAATATATAATTAGCTAATTGAACATGGGGTGATTATCAAACAGGTCTATTCCATTCAATCCATATTTTGGTGAGAATGCAAGGTCTAGTAAGTCGAAATTCGAATTGTATTAATCATCCAATCAAATTTAATGATGTACGTGTACTTTTAAATGCTTATATTTTGTCAAAAAACCGTGTACCTATATGAGTTTATAAGTAGTAACTAATGATTCAGGACTCTGATGAAATAATTTAATTTTTTTTTTTAGATACCTTTCTGGGATATAATATAATAGAATTTTTAGATATAATAGAATTACCATCAGTCGTTTCAACAACTGTTTGAACTAGTGAACTTGATTTTTTTTTTCGAAAATATAATTCATAAGATATCAGAAGAATGTTATATTTATTGGTTATTATGAAAATAAAAATAAATTATGACTTCAATCATAGAAATACCCGATTAAATTAAAAATGCAAACCACAATCTTAAGAATCTCGAAAGAAACTTGATACAAGTTGCAGAATATTCAGGGCCATATTTAAGGGGGAGACTGAGACCCCCTCAGCCACCGGGATTTCAAAAAAAAAAATTCAAGTCTGTTTAAACTCTGTAAAATGTGCATTTTAAAAGATTATATTATAATTTTTATGTGAATTATTAGTTTTAAACTGTTTATGTTATGTAATTTACGAGTACCTATTTATACATCTGACCATTTCGGTCGTAATAATTTAAATTTAGTATAAATCGTTTCATTATTATTATGTAGGTATTTTATTTCATTTATTTTGTAAAAAAGAGTATGATTAAAAAATAAAATAAAAATTGTTTGTTAAAATTTTAATTTTTGTTTATTATTAGTTGAATCATGAAATTTTGGAAATTTCCCCTTACCAAAAAAAAATCTGAATACACCCCTGAGATGACTATTATACTATTTTAGTTTACCGCGATTGCTTTGACACGTTAAGCCTAGACTCCTGTCTCCGTGTGCACAATGAACGAAATCGTCGTAACTCACCTTATGTCAGGCACTTCTGCCACGCTCAATATGGTGTGCATCCCGATATTATGAATACGCGGTGTCGTGTCTCCCGCTTTCGCCAACAATTCCGGAAGCAGTGTTTCTATACTCCGGGAAACTTCACCCGTCGACACCCTGTATACATAAAAAAAACACGTCCGCAGGTGAACAGCGTGTGAGTCTTAATTATTCGAGTAAAGATAAATCCCGAATCGGGTTATACAACGGCTCACCTTCCGGGGACAAATTCGGAAAACAGGAATCGTATTATTTCTGCAGACAGATTGTAGACGGCAAAAACTTTGTCCCTGAGCGTGCGGTGCAAAAGTTGAACGGCTGCTCGTGTCATTTTATTGGGCGAGTGTCGCGCGTCCACTCCGTCAAACATGAAATTCTTCATTGAGCCTTCCATCAGTTTTAACCCTTCCACTTTATCCGAATATTGTTTTGAAAAAAAATATTTTACCTAAAATCGTTTAACAACAACGATATATGTTCCGTAAAAACATTTGATAATTTTAAAACAGTAAATTCTCGTCATTTAAAATATCATTAGGGGAATAGCCAAACAGAAGTTTTCGGAGGAGAAAAAAAGAAATTAAAAATGTTTGTTTTTATTTAGTGGGTACGCTAACAATTACAGTGATCCCTTTCAAATATTTCCCAAGCCTAGAAAATGTTTTAAATATGGTTAAAATAATAGTTTAAATGCAGCTTACTTAGGTATGAATATTTTCATGTAAAGTGTACAAAAAAATTAAATAATTGCCTCTAAAATATAACTTATTCTTCACCTTTGGGTATACGGGTATATCAGTGTTTCCCAACCTATTTACCACCACGGACCACTTTGATTGGGCCGGTGAGAGGGTGGAGCAGGGAGGACTAGAGCTCTGGGGCCCGTACGTCCAAGAAGGCTTGTCGACAATATTTTAGACAATATTTTTATTGTAATAAAATATGTACAAATAGTATTTATATTTTGGCCATACAAGTGCAAGTAAAAAGGGCCTGAAACCAATTAACCTCGGGGGCCACAAAATTTCTCATCAGCCCTGCACTTTGATAATATTTTATTATTCACGAACCACCTCAATTTTACGAAAACTAGGAAGACCTTTTTTTTGGCTCGTTAACAAGAATACACAAAATTAATTAAAAAATTAAAAATGTACTACGTGGTAATCGAATAACGGATAACGAATTCATACTAAATCAATATTCATAACCCATTATTAATCAGTACTCATAAAGTATAATTATATAAGCAATGTTGTATAAGCGTTGTTATAAGCGATGTTTGCAATTGACATAATTATTATCGATCGCAATAATAATATAATTTATTACTCTGATACCTACACACTTATAAAAGTGGAAAATATTTATCGGTCATCGGCAGCAACAACAATAATAATATTATACGATTCCTCAATAAGCCATAATTTTTTCACCATTTAAAAAAAAAATATATTAACTATAATTTCTTATAGAAATCGAAGAAAAAATCTATGGGACCGTGAACCACCTATGACTGGCCCACAGACCAGTGGTGGTCAGCAGACCACCGGTTGGGAAACACTTCCAATGAGAGTTACAATTTGATTCAATACATCGACATTCGGCAATGCGAGAATCAACATTCTTGTTTATATTTTATTTATTTGTGTGCGTGTGCATACAATCGAAAGTCCAAACACGGCGATCGGAATAGCAGTCTGTTTCTTATCTCTTTCGCTTAACTTTGATGCACCGACACCACTAACCGCAGCTGATGACGAAGAGTCCGAATTATTTTGCGTTTGACAACTGAAAGAAGAAAACACGTTATTTCAATATATGTTTACCTATCTACTATGTGATTAAACGTGGTTTTATGACGTAGGAAATGTTCAAAAATAATGCAAAAATGTATTTAACACTTACAATCTTTGAGCAGGGATAGCTTGTTCGTCATACGATTCGTAGCTGCTCTTGTTGAACTTAGGACGCATAGGTTTAGGTCTCTTTAATGAAATTGCTTTCGTGACGATCGTTTGTTGTAACTTGGGAGATCTTTGAAAAAAAAACTGTCTATTATTAAAAAATAATTTTTATTTATTTTTTATTCGTTTCATATTATATCTTTATATACGAGTATATATTATATAGTTGATAGTAAATATGTAATTATATATTAAAATATTATAACTTTATAATAAAATCCATTTATATAACTATATTTAAGTGAAAATTAATTTTAGATAAAGTTAAAAAAATTTCTTTTATATATAGGGTAGTCGTTGCATTTTATTATTGTCTATATCTAATATATTTAATTATTACACTAGGTTCTAGTTCTACCTTTCCCTGGAGTTATTTTCAGGATAATGAAGTGGTGATACTGGACTATGGTAAATGTCCGGTTCATCAGGTGCTTCGTTTTCGATTTTTTCTGATAGGATTTCTTCTTGATGTTGCTTAATTGAAACTTCTTTAGGCGAGTTGATCGGAGATAATGACGGTGCACATTTAACGGTTTCGTCTCTTGATCCAGGAGTCTTATCAACGAGATCTTCAGGTTCCTCGTCATTGATTTCTAAGGGCTTTTAAAATATAAACTATATAAATACTATTTTTAAATTAAAATTTTAGCGTTATGAATAAATTACTATAATATTCATACGTAGCTTTGTAGGTGTATAATTATATATATATATATTTAATATATACAAATTATAAGCCAAGGGTGAATGCAGGAAAAAATTTCGGTGAGAGGAGGGAGCTTTAAAAATGTAAAATGTTGATAAGTAGCAATTATTCATTGTATAATATATATTTATATATTTTATTTACAAGTTGCATGGGAAACTTTGAAATAATTATTAAATTTGTTAGTTTGGTCATATTTTTGTAACATTTTTTCTGATATTTCGGTGAGGTGGGGTGATCCATATTCCCCTCTTGTGTTCGCGCCTGCTATAGGTATATTATCCTTAGTATAGACATGTTTTATTGTTACCATATAAATATAAGTCTTTATTATCAGTGACACATTTTTGATAATAGGATTTTATCATTTTTATTTATTTGGATAAGATTATAAGAAAACGAAAGATGCACCTGGACAGTTTCCTTTTATGGTAGTTTTCAGTAACTGAGAACTGCCAAAGACTGAATATAAATTTTAAAAGCAAGTTTTAGAAATTAATATATTAAGATAATTTAAAGTTATAACTGTTATTTGTTTAAATTAGAATCTAATACTATTATTGTTATAACCAGATCTTTCTTAAACTTTGGGTCACCTTTGTGTAAGCCTAGAGTTAAATACATGATTACTTATAATCCAAAGGGTGTCATTATGATTCATTAATGGTAAAACAGAACTATTGCAGTATTTTCAGTAAATTCCATAACTAATAACGATATAATTTCTGTATCAATGAATTATTTGTGCATTAATATTTCGATATCTCATGTGGATAATTTGATAATGAATTCATTTTAATTTTAACAAGTTTTTTAATGAAGAATTAATTTTGAAAATATCATCGCACCTAATACGACTTACTCCATTTTTTTCCAAAAGTTCATCCACTTGTTGTTCTATTAAGACTTGAGCTCGATACTCTTCCATTTGAGTTTTTTTCTTTTTCGCTTTGCCGTAATCTTCGTTTTGTATAGCTTGAGTTTTAGAAAGTTCTAATTTACCTAACTTTTCTCCAGCTGACCTTAACTCTGTTATAGCTTCTTTTAATTTTCTCGCATACTCAAATCGTTCGTCTAAGTAAAAAATATGTTTTTTGTCTAATTTATGTTTATCTAATTATTTTGAGAACTTGATGCTGACCTTGAACAGCTGTAATCTTTCTTTCTTCCAACATTCTGATGATTTTTGCAATATGTTTATCCACGTACATCTCAAACGCCAAGTCATCGCATATTGATTTGTGGTGACTGATGTCTCCTTGATCTGAGTGTTGTTTTTCACCAGTCACTTGTATACCGATCAAACTCACCTTAATTACAATAATAAAATAAATTGTAAGTAAGAATATAATATTAAAATCTATATAAAAAAACAAACCTGATTGAAACGGTTTAATGAATTCTTATGGTTTTCAAACAAAATCAATTTTACATAACTAGTAGCACTAGCTAATGGCAAACTAATGGTTTTAAGTTCTCTGCTTTTCACTAAACCACCATCGTTATCATTAAGTGTAATATAACCCAAATACTCATAGTTTAAAGTTGTTAAGTTGTCTGTTTCTACAAGTTCTTCTGGTCCGATCCATATCTCGATTTTATTAGCTTTAAATAGTATTATTACATAAGGCATATTTCAATGAAAAAATAGCTACTTTCACAAAGTACATATATATTTTTTCTAACATAAGTTAAGTTGTTAATTCTAATTTAGTAGTGTTAACTTTAATTAATATAGAATAAAATTACAATAATATTGAATACTTACGAATTAAATATTGATGAGCTAATATTTGAATTTGTTGTATTACGGTGGTTTCGAATAGTTTGAGCACCAATTGTTGCGGATATTCGCAATTTTTGGAAGATCTCCATCCTTTAACGGTTGGACCATGATTATTAAGTTCAGAGCTTTGATAAAGTGCGTCTTCGCCTAATTATAAATTTAAACAAGTGTTATAACTAATTTTAACTCATTTCTTTTTAAATTTAATAAACTGTCTTAATTAAACTAAACAATATCATTTTTTTTGATAATTAAACTTTGCTTTAACTACTTATTTCTTATTATACTTTACTTCATTCATATCACAATATGGTGATAAACTAGGGTATACCAATTTACCATACACGCATAGATAGCAGATCACAGTATACATAAATCTACAATACGTAGTAGTAATACTTATACGTCACCAGTAGCGTGACGAAGGAATTTATTTGAGGCATGTGGGTTTGGAAAGTTTAATGTTTTTAAGCTGTGAAAGGGATTTCAAAATTGATTTTGAAGAAATAATGAAACTTAGAAGATTACCCAGTGTGTTAAAAAAAAAATTTTTTTTTTAAACAAAATATATTTTTTCCGAAGTTTTTTTTTGTGCGTGGTAGGTCAGACAATATAAATGATTGTGCCTCATTAGTGAATTAAGTTTTCCACGCCACTGCACGCATCAATCGATCGAATTGATGCATTAATTTATAATGATAATGCGTATATTTTACAAAATGTAATGATAATAGATATTAATATTATAATAATAAATTTATATAATAAAAAATACTGAAATCAAACTTTGTGTCGGTTTTATTATCTCTAGTACATAGTAATAATTTATAATAAACAAAACCCAATATTCGAAGATTAACGGCGTTTTTGAAAATTTTTTCCAAGTTATAACAGGGATGAAATGTATACAAAAGCAAGTTTAATTTTATAACATGAATGATAAAGTCGGTAACCATCGGTTTTCAAGTTAAAAATTAATTTAACTTGCTTATTTTCTAGGCAACACAACTTACTTGTCTTGTAAACAACGACGAATTCCACTTTCCCAGCCGAAGACATCGTTAACGCTGGGCCGGACGCGTTTAAACTGGAAAATACCGTAGTCATATAAAAATAAATAAATTTTATAAGTTCACTATAACCAATGAAAATATAGGAAATTATAAATACTCAATCGATATTTCTGGAGTACACCTACGCAGTCACAGATCACGAAATCAATACACATCGCTGTGGTACAATATAATTTTACCTGAATACACAATATACGTTCGGTATACGTATTAACGTTATTTTTATAATAATTAATCGAGGTTGAAAAAAATAAAATAAAAAAGGGTAAATATAATTACACATAAATCGTAAGGAAACGAATGAAAGTATTTAAATCGATTTACCTGTTTTGAGCGGTGGCTGCAGTTGCGGTTGACGGCGACGTTATTCGATTTTCTTTTGATGTATTTGAACCGTTCCGACCATTCGAAACTATTATTCATTACGTCGACTATATTTTATGGTATGGGTTTTTTTTTTAGACTACTTAAAAAAACAAATATCAATCAGTCATCGCAGCCTAAAACGGTTCGACATCACGGGAACGTATCTATTTCCAAACTTTCAGACCGGCTACGGCACCACCGCCATTATTATTATTATTACACCGCGGCGGCGTCACATCGTCGAGCGCATTTATTTTTATTTTTAATTGTATTTTCTCGTGTTCTCTCTGCGCGGTAGTGTCGCAGCACACCGCGCGAATGCAACGTTAACTCGCGCAATCAATAATCTGTGCCGTGCGCGCCCTACCCGCCGACGACACGCGTGCCGAGGGGTAGTGCATAGGTCCATGCACAATGGACACCGACGCGCCACGAAACGTCAAAGATAGCGGCGACCGGCACCAGCGTCTACCACTGTTCGTGTACAAAGGGGTACCCTTAAGTAAAGCTTTAGGAGTGGTAGGTTAATAACATAAATAAAATGTCGCAACGTATAATCAAAAATCATCAATAAAAGTAGTGTATTTTCATACCATTATTTTATTACATCCCAATGGCTAAATTAATAATAATAATAATAATAACGAACGATGGCAATTGTTAAATTATTTTTTTCAAGGGAAGGTATGGAGAAGATTTATCCGTCTAATGGGTACACATAGCTTTAAAGATCAAAACTTATATAAGAAACGGATTTTAGAATGTTTTGGATACCTACCTAGTGTTTATTTTTCGTACAGAGATCATATATGATTTTGGTTGAAAATTTATTAGGAATTGGGAGTACAGCGAGACCCTAGATAAAATCAAGACTTTAGTTTGGATAGAACTTTGAATTGGTCTAATCACAAAGTTGTTCGGAAAAACGCTGGTCTTTTGACAGAAACAGAATATTTCTTTGGTTAGGTGGTTAGGTCCCGTGCGATTCCATCTTAAATAAATGTCGTATAAGGTTTTCACGTTTTTTGTTCGAGAGAAATACATTTTTAATTAAAACTTAATATGTATAGAATATTAATAGATTTTATTTCTAGTAAATGCATTAATACACAGACTGCATTGAGTTTTAACGGTGACAAATTCTCAAATTATTTGCTGGTAATAAACTGTCAATTCACTTGAATTGGATTTCATATTTACTTAAATAATTTAATGTTAAGTTGAAAGAACTGAAAATGTTTCTCCATAATTTTTTCAATATTTTTCAATAAGCTAATTTTACTTACTTAATGGATACTTAATAACATTTTTTATAAATACATTTTTGTTTATGTATATTATTATTATGTATATTTTGAATTTAACAAAATATAATCTATAACAAAATACAATGCATAATATTTTAATATAAAATACATTTTTTTCAGTAAAAATAAAAATAAACTTTTAATTTCTTTTTTGAAAATACAATTAGGGTACATCAGTAAATAAGTTTAAGGAACATTAAAATATATTTTATATATTATTATATTGTAACACAGTACTACAGTACTTAATTATTTTAAAATAAGAATTAATTTAACACAGTGTTAAAACATTTTTTTAAATTAAAAGTAATTTTTTAAAAGACTATACAAAACATAAACACGTTTTAATTATAATTATAATTAAAGGGTGTATATTTAATATTCATTATAATTAATTTAAATTATCATAAAGTAAATTATGCTGTATTAAATCATATTACGTCACATTTATTAAAGAACTATTTGCTAAATCACTCATTCATCAGTGAAAATGATGACAAATTGTTGTCTCATGGACACAATCAAAAGAATCTGAAAAATTCTGTATCTAAACAGACAAGCTTAAGATAATAGTTATATTCTATAACAGTTAGATCTAAATATTTTTTTAAGCAGAAGCAGAATTCTGTTTTAAGTTTTATTAAAAAATAAGGGTACATTTAATTTAATAATATACACAATTCACATTAAGATCAAAACATCACTAAGAAATCGTAAAATAAAAAAAATTGTCATCAAACATCTGATAAATCTTTATAAAAACATTCATTGTCAGTGTTATGATAGCTGTTGCCAGTGGCGGTCAAATGATTTTGTCATGGGGGGGGATGTGGCTGATTTTTTAATATGCACTACTATTAATCATTAAAATATAATTTATGGTTATGCCTAATATCAATTTTTTTAAATTCAGGTAAATCGTTACTTTATTTATAGCATATAGGTAGGTATACAATATTACTAATATTAACAATATTTGTATTATATTATTAAATCTATTTTTTTTGTTTTTTTTTGCTAATTCATCCAGCACTTAATTGGATGTTATATTTATAATTCCCCGATGAACAGCCATAGTGGCCAAACCATTGAGACGACTCTAGAATAATAAAATTACACAATTAACAAATATATATATATATATATATATACATTATCACAATCACAATTTATAGCAGTCATAAAAATATATAATGCGCACACAGTATGACTGTACGCGACACGAGTAACGGGACGACAGTTAACACTGTGGTCTGTGTAACAAAATATTGTGACAAACGTAATAATAATCGACGAATTTGGCCAACTATAATGACATAGCTACGTATTATTTACCGATGGGCCGGTCAAGGGAGGAGTGTGTTGTTATTCACGATCACCGAGCTAGGTAATTCCCGTATATTTTGTATAAGCAACTAATTACTAAATATTAATAATAATAACAGCCTTGTTCCTAGAACGAGTCTAGAATCTAGATAATAATATACGCTCATGCCTCATAAGCGTTATTTTAAGAAAAATTAAAACAAAATGTAATACATTAACATTATTATAGTACAATAAACATAAATGTAATTGTTATAAATATAAAGGAAAAAAAAGCCATAGGGGGGGGATCTATCCCCCTCATCCCCCCCCGTTTGACCGCCACTGGCTGTTGCCATAGGGATGTAAACTGTACATAAAAGGAAAATAAAGCCAGATAAATTGTTAAAGAATATCGGAACACAAGTGTACATTTATAATTTTTTTAATAAGTTCTATATATATTTAAAATGGATTCTACACATTTCAAAAATAAATTTAATGCTTATGACGGCGATATGTATTCTCAATATGATTATCAATTGGATGGAGCTAAAGAAGACCCAGAAGAGATTCTCAGACAAGCATTAAGGTCATCTTATAGCAGAAGAGCCTCAGTTAGTATAATAGATATCAAATGTCAATCGATATAAATGTATTCAAATAAACTAATAAATTAAACAATTTATTTTTCAAAAGATGTCCACCAAAGCATCAACAGGTCTGCCACTGCCATTTGCTACAACACCAGTTTGTATAAAATAATTTTGAACATAACACAAATTAACTAATATATATGATAATCAAAAATTATGTTAATTTTAAAGCAAATTAAAGATCCACATGCATTGGTTTTAAGACCAGAAAGCTCTAGAAGTGGATCAGAGACATCAAATAGACCAGCAACAGCTGTACGAGGTGCTGGTTATACATCGCATTCATCTACTTATGATGTTTTAAGTCAGCCTTCAAGAAGTATGATCATGTCTGAACCGAACAAAGAAGAAAGGTACAATAAAATATCAACAGTACATAGTAAAATGATTAAATTCTTAATAATAACAACAGATATATCAAAAAGAATAAACAAAATATTTTAGGGTGGAAGATAAAATAAAAAAACTGGAAAAGCGTATTTATGATTTAGTAGATGAAGCCTGTATGGCTGAATCTAGAGGTGATTTTCAGTTGGGATTAGATAAGGCAAAGGATGCATCAAATAAGGAAAGGAGTTTAATTAGAATGCAAGAACAAGCTGGGTTGAATGATTCTCACAATATTGATTTAACGTTTTTGGTATGTTTAATGGCTTTCATATTTTATTTCAAAATCTAAACCAACACATAATTGAAATTATATCAATTGTTAGGTTTTATTTACATTGGGTAATCAATATGCTGGAAATGAAATGTATACAGAAGCTTTAAATACATACCAGGTAATCTCTAAAAATAGATTGTTTCAAAATGGTGCACGAATGAGAGTTAATGTAGCAAATATTTATGAAAAAATTGGACAACCTGAAAAAGCGATTAAAATGTATCGTATGGCTTTAGATCAAGTTCCAAATACTAATAAAAGTTTTAAGTAAATTCTATATTCTCATACATATTAGACAATAGCTGTTTATAATGAGCAATTAAAAATTATCATTTTTTTTTTTTAGGCGAGCTATTACACATAATATTGGTGTTGTATTTTTAAAACTTGGTAAATATGAAGACGCTTGTTCAAATTTTGAGTATATTATGCACGAAAAACCTACATTTAAGGCAGGAATGCACGCCTTAGTTTGTTATTATATGTCGGGTAATAAAGAAAAATCTAAACATTTATTTAAACAAATATTAGAAATATCGCTGGACATAGATTTTGAAGATAAGTACGCTGCACATTCTGTAAGAAATATTTATATAATTTAATCATATGAAATTCTGAAATAATATAAAACATTAATAAGACTTTTGTTACAATACTTTTTAGGACGAAATTGAAGCTACACTCCTAGCAGAAGCTATAAAATCCGATCCACTCACTAAATATGAAAAACAAATTAAATCAAATTTTGAAAAAACAATTTTGAATGCTGCACACCTGATATCTTCAATTATCGAAGATACGTTTACTGAAGGTTACTCTTGGTGCTTAGACACTATTAAAACATCACATTATTCATACTTAGCAGGTCATTTGGAGATAAACAAGGCAGTAGGATTTTTATACCAAAATAACATTGCACCAGCGATTGACACTCTCAAATCATTTGACAACAAGGACAACAAAGTAGCGAGTGCAGCTGCTACAAACCTTTCTTTCATACACTTCTTAGTATGTATATTAATGCCTTTTTACCACAAAATCTATAGCTAACAAACTGTTTCTAACTTATAGAAAGGTGATTTAGAACAAGCAGAGAGAACTTCAATCACAGCACGTGAATCAGATCCACACAATGCTTTGGCATATGTTAATCATGGCAATTGTTATTTTGTCAAACAAGACTACTACAAGGCAAAAGAACTTTATACACTAGCACTCGAGAAAGACATGATGTGCTCAGAAGCTATGTACAACTTGGGCTTAACTAATAAGCAACTTGGACATTTGGATGATGCTATTGATTGTTTTCAAAAGTTGCATGTCATTATAAGTAATCACCCAGAAGTAATTTATCAAATTGCACTTTTAAATGAAATTATTGGAGATCTTGAACAAGCCATTGAATGGTAACTACAACATAACAAATATAAAATATTTATAAGAAAAAAAATTCTAAATAATTAGGTTATTTCTTATATCTTAGGTACTTACAATTATTAAGTATAGTTCCTGATGATGTTGGTGTTTTACAAAAATTAGGCGATATTTATGAAAATATTAATGACAAACAACAAGCATATCATTATTATTATGAGGTTTCAAATAGTTTTTTTTCTTTATATATGTTAAATCATATTCATTTAAACTTATTTTAGTCATACCGTCATTATCCTTCTAACTTAGAAGTATTGGATTGGTTAGGAGCTTATTTTGTTGAAATGAAAGTTCCAGAAAAAGCAATAGATTACTTTGAACAAGCTTCTCTAATGCAGCCTGCTGAACCAAAATGGCTTATGTTAATTGGCTCATGTTACAGAAGAGCTGGGAATTTTCAATTAGCTCTACAGACCTATAAAGATATACTGAACAAATTTCCAGATAATACAGAGTGTATACTATTACTTTATTGAACTAAACAACAACAATTATAAGGAAATAATAATTAATTAAATTTATTAGGTCTCAAGTTATTAATAAGAATATGTACAGATTTGGGACTAAAAGAAGCTTCAGAATATAGTGAATTATTGAGGAAAGCTGAGAAAGCCAAAGACATTAGAGAACGTATAAGTACAGCTCGTACTGGGTATCGCAAAACAATGGAAACTAGAGGTGGAACTGGTATGGTTACAACATCAAATTCAACTGACTATGCTCAAAAACCTACAGCTTCAGGAGAAACAAATATCTATGTTCACGATAGCCCAAAAGACCCAAGTATATAAAAGTTACTAATTACTAATATACACTATAAGATAGTTAATCATTTAATTTAGTTTATGTTAAATTTCTCATTTACTTCTGTTCATTGTTGAATACAATATACAGGGAGAGATATTTTTTTTTACAATTCATTTATAAAATTTAACAATAAATTAAACAGTATTATCATTTCTTATGAACTTTTCAACTATACTGATCAATATTTTATTTCATAGTACAGTAAAACAATATAGGATATCAAAAAGGCTAATGGAATTATAATATTTTACCAAATATATTAAAATGAACAAATCTTTTTACTACATAAAGTCATTATATTGATTTTCCTATATAATAAATGAAATTGTTATAAAAATGTCCATTGTATTTTAAACTTTAAAATTATTAACATTAAAGATTTAGTTAGTGCTTCATCTCAACGACCACGAACATCGAGAGGAGGAACTGCTATGATTGCTACATCAATGCCTTTAACTAGTGCATATTCACGTCAAAATATTTCAGATGAAATGAATATTTATGTCCATCAAGAACCAAAATCGACTAACGGTAACTTAATATTAAAATTTCATCTAACAACTTAAAACTAAATATAATTGTAAATGCATTTGATTTAGAAATGTATAATGATCCATTAGGATCCTTACAAAGACCACGTACATCTACATCAAGACCTATTACATCATTGGAAAAGGAATTTGCAGATGAACAAGTTCAAGACCTTTTACCAGAATAGTTAATATATTTAGCACATATAATATAATTTGTTTTATTTACATTTTTGCACAAAATAAAATTTGTTAATTTAACTATTTAAAAACTAACTTGATTTAGATGTAATTTAAAATAAAAAGTATCCAAAAATCCAAGACATCCAAGAAGTTTGAGCTTTTGGTTGATCTAGCATAGTTTCAATATTACTTTTATCTGACATTAAATTATTATTTTGTTCTATGCGTCGTTTTTTTAATTCTAATGCTGCCAATCTTTGATCATTTAAAAATGAAGGCATTCCTAAAGGAAACAATTTATTTTAAAGCATTACATTAATATAGTTTAAATAACATTTTATTATACCTTTAGATTGGTACCAGGATGTAAGATAATTTGAAACTGTTACACCGGGATCATCAAAATAAGTAATTGAAAATTCAACTCCTGGCTATATAATACATTTGAAATTAAAATTATAATAAAATATATATATTTTTTATTACATACTTAAAAACAATTATTTTTATAAATCTTACTTTATCAAAATCTTTATGTGGTTTTATGACAATATAAGACCAATAATTTTTTACTCTCCATTTATTTTTGTTTTCAGGAAAATTAGGATGTTCAATACTTTGACAAACAATTAGCATTAGTTTTTCATCTTCATCAATTTTATAACGTCTTTTAAACACATAATCACGATTTTGAAACCACTTCTATAAATCATTAACAAATTATTTGCATTACTATAAGATCAGAAAAGTAATAATTTAAATAAATATAATTATAAAATACAAAATAGAATGAAGCTAAATATCATGGATACATTGATCAAAATTCTACTTTTACTCAGTAAAAAAATTATTTTAATATGTGAACACATATAAGTACGCTAAATATATTGGTTACCACAAAATTAGTTTTTGTTGATGTCTATTATATGGAAATATTAACATTAATTATTGTGTGTAAAAAGTATATGTTCAATTAATTTGAATTTAAAATAACATGAAATTATTCAAAATTATTCTTCTATATTTTTAAATTTGAAAATAAACATAAGAATAATAAACAAACAAACCTTAGAAAAATTATATTAGCTCTATTTTTTACTTTTTCATTGTAGTAATAACTTCAAAGAAATGTTGATTTTCCTTTTGATAATTGCATTCATATAGTCTACTAAATAAAAATATAAGAACTTCTATAATGGAACTTAAAGTAAATATTTATAATTACCGGCCAACGGAGTTCCCAATAAATAAGATCGCTGTGGGTAAGAGGTTCTGAGTCGAAAATGTCTAAATCTACAGACATACCATCCCATTCTTTTCGATAATTGATATCTAATTGAACTTGCATATAATCTAATGCTGTTACATCATCAAATGATCCATGTACTAAACAGATAATTTAATTATATTTGGTTATAATAAATAATTTATGGTATTTTGTTTTACAATAGTATTATTTCTCATTTACCTTTATAAATATACAAATTTTGATTTGGATAGTCAACATTTAGTTTTTTCCAAACATTGTAATATGAACCACTAGTAAAAGGTTCCCATCCATCTTCTGTGAAAACAAATTAAAACATACTAAAAAAATTGTCATATACTATTTAATTGAATATGAAAGTTAATATATAATGTTGGTATTATTATTTAGTTGTTACCATTCATATTTCTACATCTAGAACAGTCGCAGCTATTAAATGAACAATCATATTTTTTTTGTATACTTTCAGTCTTTGATACATTTTTATCATCCATACTAGAGACAACTTGTTGTGTATTACAAGCACCTTTCTCAATTTGAAGATTATTTTTAGAGGTGAATTGTTTTTTTAATTTTTTTACAACTTCAAATTCTTGACGCAGTCTATAAAATATATTTAAATAATAAAAAAAAATAAAATAAAAAAATAAATTTTTCTTTTACTTAATTAGTTCATCTACACATATTCTTTCTTTAAACCAATCAAATGTAAAAGCCATTGCTACACACATAATCAAGTTTCTTCTGTGTTTAGCTAAATTTTGTTTAAACTTATTAACAACAACAATCATTTTTTTACAAGCAATCATTAGTTTTTTATTTCTTGCAATGTGAACAACAAAATCTTGTTTTTTCAAGAAACTTCTAGTGCTCTTTTTTAAAATAGACAATAATGAAGGATCATCTGATAAAGATTTTTTACAACGCCTTGTGAACGTCCGACAAACAGCTTGTGCGTGACAACTTGATGGCATTAATATATTTGGCTTCCACATATTTCCCATGAGTGACATGTTGATAACCAAACAATTATTCTAAAATAACAGAATGAAATAAGATCTATACATTATATGTAAAAAACTAAACCCTAAAATTGAATATAAATATTTTTTTTAACAATATTTATATATATTAAACCGAAGAGCAATGTTTATTTTGGAAAAATGCTAAAAATTTCTTTTGTATTATTGAATATTGTTTATATTTCACAGTTTAGTCTGTAAAAAAGAATGTAATATTTATAATTATAAAAATATACAGTAGAGATTAGTTCAGATGCAGATAATTAGATTGTTAGGAAAATATAATATTTAAAACTCTAATCAAGTATAGGTACATATGATTATTTTATTTAGTAATAAATAATGATTTTTATACTTTATTTTTTTTAAAAAAAAAGACTATTTTCAACTCTAACCATAACTTGTAATCACAGTTAGTGATACTATAGTTTAAAAAAAAACTGTGTTCTGTATAAAATGCTAAGTATGATAGTTAATTAAATTAAATTTTGCGATATGTTCAAAATTTCAAAATGTATAGATTAAAAAACAACAGCTGATAAGTGAAATTATTCACCAAATCACATAAATACACTTAATTTGAAATAATTTTGTAATATTTATCGTAATTACATTACTACCAGAAGCAATAGATTAAAAAAAAAAAAAAATGCAGAAATTAGTTTGCACGAATTAAAAATAGGTAAATAATAAATAAGTGTAACTTACGAAAACTTTTTTTGTTACGGTAGATTAAAGACGGTCATCATTTTGTCATCCATAATAATTAAGTACCGATTAACAGATGGGCGAAAAACGTGGTCAACCTTTGAGCGTTCATTACATCAATATATTACAATAATTAAAAATGAATACCAATAGTAAATTGCAAATGGTAATTGGCTACGAATAAATACTACGAAATGAGAGCACGACGGCAACAGAATTAACTTTAAACGTATACCGGATTTACTTCAACACAAATAAATATAATTTTGACTGAGGTCCAACTTAGAAAAGACAAGGTTATCTACTAAACTACTATCTATAACTGCACAACTGGGTACGGCAGGTATAAGCATGTGAAAAATCAGTGTTTGATAAAAAACGAACAAGACGTTTATTTTACATCACTGTATGCCGGGCGCACACCACGATTATATAGTATTGTTCTGTGATTATAGATAGGATGATTACATCACAGACTATATGAAAATATATTTTTATATACCTAGCCTGTGGTTATATCATAAACATACAATATGTTTATGTTAAATATATATATTTTGTTAAATATTATAGTCCACTACATGAAAACTGGAGGCTGACCTCCACGATCCAAGCGGGATATTTGTTGAAGTGGTAATTAAACACAATACAATTTACCGCACTTTTTCAAATATGTATACCCTTAATTTGTGTATTATAAAACATTTTTATTTTTTCGTACTATAACCTTTAAATTAATTATTTTCCCTAACACGTATGTCGAATTATGATAACACAACATAATAGATTAAATCAGAATGGAAACTGATAAGAAAAATACACAGCGCTTATGGGCGCTCAAAAATATGAATAAAGAATCGCAATAGTATAGAATTCAGTCAAATTGCCAATGTAAAACCCTTTTAAATTTGTTTTTGTAATAAAATACAAAATTTATTCATTATTCTGTCTTTAACATAGTAAAAATGTGTTTCGTTCGTTAACTTAACAATTAAAGAAACAATTGTTTATATAAATATTAAAAATGTATACAACTAGCTTATACAAACCCTTTTGCTTATTCTCACATTAATAAAACATCAATTTACTTGCCATAACTTTGTGCTAGCAATATCATAGGAACATTTAGATTTTACAACTTTTAGTTGATGTCTTGATAGATACAAAAAATTGTCAATTGTGTAAAGTATTACATTAGATGTTTTCTGCTTCTAAAAATATAAAGCATATTGTATATGACTTATAGTAGGTACCAGAATCAGTGGTATTGTACATACCAATTTTTTTTAGTAACAATATTATAATTTTTATCTTATTCCTATTTAATAATAATATTCCTATTAAATGACCATTTAATAGGAATATTGATTCGTTTTGAATTAATTAATTATCCGCTTAAGTAAATTGTTGACAATAATTATCATTTTCCAAACATCAATAACATAAAACTATTAGTTTAAAATTAAACATAAAGATTTGTACAACGTCCAAAGTTTATAAGTAAGTTTAGTTGTTGTAATAACTGGTATGTATAATATTTAAACTATAATTTTTATTTATTTTACAATATAAACTTATTTAATGTTAACTAAATAAACCATGACTCATCATGAAGCTTTATTTGCTGTCAATATTTATGCTACATTTTAATCAGTTTTGGTTTAATCAAAATTATATTGAACAAAAATAGTTCAAGGATATGGTCCAATTTGACCAACAACATAATCATCATTGTGATGGCAAGTTTTCCTCAAGAATGTAAAAATGTCATAATCTTTATTGAGCTGCTGAACATTTTCTCTAATAATCTGGTTAGGTTTTCTCTTCCTGCTTTTAATTGCATAACTTTGATTTATCGCAGCGTTTCTCAACCGGGGTTCCGCGGACCCCTAGGGGTCCGCAAGAAGGTATTAGGGGATCCACGGAAAGAAAAGGCGTAATGTCGGAAAAAGTGAAATTTGTTGTATTAGATATATTTGTTATTGTAATTTGTGAAATATTATAAATCGGTTTTTTCTAATGAATGAATAAGTGTGTATAGGTATAATATGAAATATATCATTATTAACGGCGGCACGTGTGCACTGAATTTTATCTAATTGTACGTTTTATTTAATATTGAAATCGATACTATTAACTAGTCAGTCGATTGCTTTCAAAGTGTCCGTGTCACACACATCGTACATAAATATTCATATTCATAAAACTATTTTTTTTATTTTATATTTATTAATATTTTTGCAATTTTACCATGGATCAATGGTTAAAAACTGGTACAGTCAATAAACGAAAAACTACTGAATCAACTGATCCTATTCAAAGCACTCAAAATATGCCATCATCGATTAGTAATCTTGACGCAGAAAATTCAAAAATGTTACCACAGGTTAGTGATACTAAACTTTTAATTCCGGGAAAAATAAGGAAATATTCTGAGGAATATTTATGGCAAGGGTTTTCATCAGTTACGATTGATAATGTCGCTAGACCTGAATGTGTTGTTTGTGGGGAAGTACTATCTAATTTTCCATTCAATTTGACGAGAGTACTGATGTATCACAATTGGCTGTTTTGATAGTTATTGTAAGATATTAAAAAAAAAAAATGAAATCGTAGAAGGTCTATTGCTTTGCCACTCTCTTACTGAACGAGCAACAGGTGCAGATATTTTTCGTGCTATAGATTTTTACTTTACCGAAAAGAAAATAAAGTGGTCAAAATGTTGTGGTTTGAGTACAGATGGTGGCAAATCTATGTCAGGTTGTTACTATGGTCTTCTTGCGCGTGTAAAAGCAGTTTCTCCTCTGATAAAATAGACTCATTGTTGTATCCATCGGCAAGCTCTTGCGTCGAAACCTCTTCCTGCAGATTTGAAGGACGTTCTGGATGAATCTTGTAAAGTGGTTAATTTCATCAAGTCTCGCCACACGAACTCCAGAATATTTTCATCATTGTGTGAAGACATGGGCAGTCTTTACAAAAACCCTCCTTCTTCATACCGAGGTTCGATGGTTATCTCGAGATAAAGTCCTTACTCGTTTGTTTGAACTTAGGCATGAAGTTCAAATGTTTTTTTGAAAACCATCCTTTTCGGCTGTCATCTAAATTTAATGACCATGAATGGCTTCAAAACTAGCATACTTATCCGATGTTTTTTTGAAATTAAACAATCTAAATTTGACTTTTCAAAACTATATTCCAAGTTACTGACAAAATAGAATCTTTTATGAAACAGTTAGAATTTTGAAAGTCGTGTATTGAAAATAATCAACTAGAAGTTTTTGAAACACTACATGATTTTCTCTGTGAAACTGATACAAACTTATCACGAGACATTAAAGACCAAATAAACAACATTTGAATGGGCTCAAGGCAGCATTTGAAAAGTACTTCCCTAAATGTGGAAAAGAAGATCACTGGATTGCGTTCCCGTTCAGTGAAAACTATTTCAAATCTGCAGTTTTATCAGTTCAAGAAAAAGAAAAACTGATTAAACTGAAAACAGATTCTTCACTTCAGGCAGCATTTCTTGAGAAAAATCGCTCATCACCTTTTGGGCTAACATAAATGACGAATATCCTGAATTTTCCTACAAAGCATTTAATATTTTACTACCGTTCACGAGCACTGTATTAGTGGAGAGGGCCTTTTCGTCATATACGTTCACTAAAAATAAGTACCGTAATAGACTATCTGTGAGTTCAGACTTACGGGTTTACCTATCAACTGTGGAGCCAGATTTCAAAAAATTAAGGGCTAGCAAACAAGCCCAAGGATCGCATTAAAACTAAATTTTTAACTTAATTTTTATTTATATATATAAATAGATAAATTGTATGGCACATGCCGATTAAAATAAATAGACATTTCCAAATTTTTCGTTTTCCTTATTTCGTTAATTCGTATTTATCTTATGTAAAAATTATATGACTAAGTAGCTTGTTTCTAAATATTTTATTGTCATATAGATATGTTGTTTTTTTTTTGCTTATAATTGTTGAGCTGTAATAATATAACTAAAAGCTAATATAAAAAAAAAAATAAAAAAATAAATATGACAAAGTTGACATTTGGGGGTCCGTAAGATAGTGGCGATAAAGCAAGGGGTATGCGAATGAAAAAAGGTTGAGAAACGCTGTCTTAGTTTATCAATGATTATTATTGACTTCAGTTAACTAATCATTATATTATATTATATCATTATAGAAGAATGTTTCACAGAAACACATTAACACATTAAGCAGATGTTACGGACGTAAATAAATGTAGGGTAGTAGCCTTATAAGTATCATTGTTTGCAGGACTACATACCATATAATTAATATTAGAATTACTCTTATATAATTATTATAAATTAGCACCAGTAGTACGGATGCAATGGCTAAAGGATTATGTGCGTTTTCAAATAATAATACGTAAATACAATCACACGATAGAATATTAAACATGTGAAAAAATGCTTATGCAAAATGCAGAATTCACGAGCTTAACTAATTATATAATAAGTAGGTAATCAAGGGTTGGACGCATAGTAATAATAACTTGGATCTCAGAAAATTGTCTGGTATATTGTACGATGACATTGTATCCATCTATGTCTTGAGGTATTGCTGGCCGTTGAAAGCTTCTCATCGCAGCCACTCATCTGACAGCTTGTATATAAGTGTAATTACAAGAGGCCTCTATGCTTTTTAGGACAACATCAATCAAAATTTAAATTATTAAAAAAAAAAAATAATAATATATGTTTGTCTAAATTTAATGTATAAGTACAATTAATTATAGATATTAAATAGTGAATGAAATACAACTTACTGGATAGTTGTATTGTTGTGAATAGTTCTTACAGATGTATTGGTTGAATCAGATCTTTGATTACCAATTGCTTCTCTCAATTATGGTACATGTAAGTCTATATTGTCGGCCCCATGGTTGTGAGGATTAAGAAGTGAAATTCTTTTGTCCATATTATCCCGACTTATTGATGTACTGACAGTTGACATGTATTTTCAATAATATAAATTAATATAAATATAATACATTTTCACTAAAATTAAACCCCTTTAAGACAATAAAATACATGTTGTAGTAATAATTTATTTACTACGAATACTAATACTTATTTTTACCTATGCAAAAACATAACAAATGTACTTGCATTAATTTTATCCAATATCACCTTTCGTAAAATATAAATTTATTCTTTAATCAATGGCACGACGTACCATGAAAACCATTAAAACTATTTATATTTAAATTACTTGAATATATATCAAGTTTATTAAGATTTATGATTACATACTAGAGCAGTGGTGGAAAATTTTCCTAATGTAACGTACCAGTGGCGTATACAGAAAATATTTTCAGGAAGAGTTACTATAGACAGAGTTAATTTATCACTGCTATCTAAGAATTACTAACAAGACACAGTAGGTACTTATCTACATTTCATTAACAGAATGTCTCAAAACGATTTGA